GCTGATTTTAGGACATTTTCAAACTCTTTGATTATTGAACAACTATATCTATTGAACAACTATTTGACTATTCAAACTCTTTGTAACAATTGTGGGTTGGCCTTTGCATCCAACAAATGAGGAAAACAATTAGCACCAACGTAAATTTAACTTTAGAAAAAAGGTATCAAAAATAATAACATCCTTTATTCAGTGCAGCATTTTACTTAAAAGACATCGCTAACCAACTAAATATGATGTTCATAATAAATTTTGACAGAAATTTACTAATTTTAAGTCAGTGGACATTTTGTCAAAAATGCAGCTTGCTCTTGTAAATAAAAATCTAATTTTAAGAATGAGTTTTTTTTTTTTTATAACAAAAATAGGAAAAACCGTTATCACATAACAATAACTTTCACAGACCACAGAGTGGGTTTTCTAAATAAGGAAAGGGTTAGTTTTCTGAGAACCCAGGAAGATTCACTTTGTATCAGTGAACAAAAGAGCAATCATCTCTCCCCCCTATTGGACTATGGGGAGTCTTCCGTTTCCAAGGTCATCCTTTTCAAGCATCAACAAAAATAATCCTTACATTCCATAGGCTTTCAGGAGAAAATGGAAGCAACGTTTCAAATAATTTTCAGGTAAAGAACGTAACGAAAATCATGTGATTGATCTCGAAAAATATATATCTCCATATAAACAAAACATGATTAACTATAAAGTTATAAAAGCGATTTTTGATTATGCATCACCATAGATATAACATAAAGAGACATAGCATAAACTTTTTAAATCGATATAAAAACCTAACAGTTAAAAGTGTGCATGAAGCCAGGCAAAAAGCATATACTAACTCAATATCTATCTTAATTTTAACCAACTCAATATCATTTATCTAAAATCTTAAAAATAATAATTTAAAAAAAATTGTTCAGGTAACCGCATATAAATTCACACAGCGATTTTAGTTAATTCATTATCATTTAATCGAAAAAATTTCGAATCGTTTCAAAAAATTTGCATTTTAACTAATCACATGTATTTAAAACATGACCATGAACTTCATATAGTGGATTTAAGTCATTAACATTTATCTAAGAATCTAGAGACATTACAAAATTTAAAATATAGATATTTATGAGTATATAGAACTTTACCGAAAATTAATTCCTATAATGATTTTCATTAACTCATTATCAAAGGTAATGATGTCAAGATAACAAAAGTATAATTATTAACTTTTGAGTGTGAAACGTGACATATTATAAATTTGAACTAATTCATTATCAAAGATAATATATTGTTAACATAAGCAAAAATAAAATATTAACATTTAGCTTAAATACATGATAAAAAATAATGCCTTATACTGAATTTAAACTAATTAAACACAGATATTAAGTGTGACTAGCTACAAATTTATATCTAAAGTAACTCGTCACCAAAGGTATAAAAACCAAAGAGGGATTTTCAAATTTAATAAAAAATAGAACACAAGCCTTCGGTTTCCACGTGTCGTATTAAAGCGATGACTAATCCTTTAAAATTATTCTATTCAGTTCTAAAAAATAACTCATAAACAACAAAATAAACAAAAAGAGGATAGTTTTTCGTTTTCCTAACTTTAGAAAAAAATGAAAAAGAAAAAAAAAACTAAAAGGATACAAAAAATGAAACAATGTTGAACGTTGAAGTTGGAAAGAAAAATAATTATTTTAGTAAATATTTTTCTTAATAGTTATGTATTTTCCATATTTTGGCAACTTAACGATTGTCGTTTAGTCAAAATTTTAAAAGACCTCATTGTAAAGTATGGATTCGATTAAAAGCTTCAACAACAAAGGAATATAAATATTTTAATATAATTCGATAAATACAATCTAATTAATTGAAAAAGCACTCGGCACATTTTTATTTTTGGATACTTCGTTAAAAATCGTTTAAATATTTCAAAATAAAATTAAAGGAAACTTGTGTGTAAGCGAACATAATGGCACAGGTCATAGATAAATTACCTAAACTGAAAAAGAATGCAGTAAATTGAAATAAAAGAATAATAATAACTGATACTAAGACAAGTAAAGCATTCAGTTTAAATACAATTAATTTGTGTAGTTAAACTGTTAAAAAGCTTGAAATAAATATTTATTTAACTGATTTTTATTAAAAAATTTGAAACTGCAATATGATATTTAGCTCAATTTTTATCAAAAAAAGTCTGTAACTTATTTATTTTTACTAAAAAAATTTAAAAAAATAATAATAATAATGATAAATAGGATTTTTGGAATTTCGTGAAAAATCGGGACACATACATTGCATTATATAGGACACATGCATTAATATTTAAGTGAATAAAAAAACACTGCAGTTTTTTTCTATTCGGATATTTCATTAAAAAAAAAATCTTTTAAACATTCTAGCATTCCAATTACAAAATAATTCTAAAAATAGTTTAATATAGTAAATACGAAAAAAAGTCTGAACTTTTAATTAACTAATACATTTTTTTCCAAGGTTCTTTAATGGGACAAGTTACGTTTTACTAACTACATGATATTAAAGTTCGTAAACAAAACAGAATAAGACAATTTTTGGATTTAACATTTTTTAATAAAATTAAAATGTTGCATTTAAAAAAATTTTTTAACCAATATTTCATACACATACAACATCAGCGATGAAGTTATAATTTTAAAAATAAAATGAAGTAATAATTTCAAAATAATTTTGAACATTTTTCAAGCAACAATAATGATTAGTTTTTCCAAAAAATTTTCAGATCGCTTCTTAAAATCAGAACTTTGTTTTCATAATGGTTTTTAATAAACCATAATGTTTTTCGTACACATTGATTCTGCTGCTGATAAAAAAAATTTCGATCAAAACTACCAAAATGTAGTAAAATTTACCGCGTTTCTGACTTTATGGAAACACCAAAAAGCTCAGTAATTTTTACCGAAGTGTTACGAAGTTACTAATGATTTTAGAAAAATTAACAATAAAATATGCTTTTATAATGTGCAATAAAATTTGATTATTTTATCATACCTTAAAACATGATATGACAATTAATTATCCGGTTAAATTTACTTTTGAGATTTGTATGTTTTATTACATGTGTGGTAACAAGAACGATAATTTTGAAAACCAGAATTCACGGTAAATCGTTAACATTGAACGGAAACATTACCAAATGAATAGTTTGTATATCGGATATTTTGATTTTATAAACCAGAATTTGTTTTTACCAGAAATGCCATTATATACAGTATGGTAGTTTCATTAGAATCTTTTACTCCATGTCATAACCAAGGTCCAAACACCCCCCGTTACTTTTTAATCACTTTTTTTATTGAAAAAGATCAGTCCCATCTAAATTTTTACTTAACCTCGGTGAAATGTATTTATATTTGTGATTGCAGCGTAGCGAGTGATGAAAAAGAATCGTCACGGGGATTTGAATTCTGAATTACAGGTTCGAGATCAGTCTATGAATTCTAATAAGTCTACTACTACCCTAAAGAAGTGATTTAATATCGAAACTCGTTCTTAAAGATGTCTGTCCACTTAAGAGACTAAATTGCTTCCCAAATCGAATTCTTTGTGACAAGACGAAGATTTATTTCCATGCTCCGACTCCTTATAAGAAAGAATATTAACTAAATCTGTAGTACGAAGCGCTGTTGCATGAAAATTTCAATATTTTGGATAGATCTACGGGTTATAGAATACTAGAAAATAACTCTTTTATGACTGCTTTGAACTATGTGTTATAAAGAAATAGCAATCATATATATAAATTTTAACTAACAAAAATTTTTAAATTGTATCTTGTGAATACATTTTTAATGTTCGCAGATCAGATTGGTAAATGTCTAACTAATTCATAAGTCTAGAATGTATCTGCTGAATGCATTGATCTTTTACAACTATCAGATTATTCTGAAGTTCTGCATTTGTAATTTTACGCAATCGAAAGTTTATATATTTACCTAAGCCATATTTCTAAAATATTTGCGTGAATAAGTTTGTAAATGAGACCACCAAAAGTATAATACTTTCGACACTTTTACACTAATTAAATAATAATAAAATCACTAATGTCATAAATTTTTTTGAACTTTTTAATTTGAACAATAATACAACTTAATAATAATTATTATTAATTGAAATACCAGCTTCTGAATTGATAAATATATAATAAATACGGTTGTATACTTGTGTAACTACGATAATATAGTCTGTTTAATTTTCAATTAAATTAATTTTATCAGAAAAAAAAGTTTTCGATATAAATATTACAGCCTTCCTCAGTGAATGAGTGATTGTATGGATAGTTTTAATATCGAAATAAATTATATACTTGATTCCTAACTAATTTTAATATTCATAATTCTATTTAGTAAAATATTTATACAAGTGTAAGAGTAAGCTAATTATAATCATAAACATTTTAAACTATTCTAAAATTAATTATCAAATAACAACAATTTTATCGAAGTCCTATTGGAGCTAACCTGAGCAATGAAAAACCACTGAAATGTTAAAAAACACAAATAATCAAACTAGTTCTTATCACAACAATAAACAATTTGATAAGTTTAAGAAATAATAAAGTTTTTCAATTAAAAAAAATCATTAATAAAGTTCCAGTCAGTAAAAAATTGAAACCGAAAGTAAGCACTCATTTTTTTACAGAAGTTTTTGAAGTCTTAATTAATATTATTGAATTAAATTAAAATAATAATTCTTAGTGAAATATTGAATTAAAATAACAATTCTTAGACTTGGTGTTGTTACGCTCTGATTAAATAAATTCTAAATATGAAAAGAAAAATTAAATAAAACTAGGGGCTTAATAAAAATGGTAAATACCCCATGGGTATTTTTCTGTTGGACGAACTGAATCTGAATCAAATACGAAATGATACAAACAATGTAAACATCGATCTAGTTTAGACAATAAACACGAATAAATAAATCATTAGACATTATAATATATTAAACATTACCCATATATGGCATCCTTATCTCTCTTATGAACATCTGGTACAGTTCCCATAATATGGTTAGACATGGATACATGATTGCTGTGATACTGGTGCATTGAGGGTGTGTGATTCATATGTGGGGCATGAGATAGGGGTTGCATTGCCCGATGCCCGTGCGGGTCGTATAGGGACGTTGGACCGTCCATCCCGCCGTAGTGCGGCATACCATCTTCGTATTGCATAGCAAGGGAATGGTCAATTGGGTATGGTTCACTCTTCATAAGCAACGGTCTGTTATGGCCATTCAAATTACAAGAATCTGTCAAAGATAGCTGTCGCACGAAAGGATTAACTTACCAAACGTACCACTCAAAAGATAATTTAAATTAATATTTCAAACGATTATATCCTTTTGGCAGACGATTTTTATCCTTCAAGGATCACAAAATAAATCGATCACAGCATTTAATAAATAATATACAAATCAGAAATCTTGGAAGGATTGCGCCGAAACAGGTGAACAAGTAAACTTTGCAAAACTTTTTTTTTTCTTTCCGGAAAGTTTTGTTTATTAACTTCCTTACGAAAAATCCAGTTTTCCTTTAAGAACGGTATAAAATCGGTGCTTTTTTATATTATTTTTATAAGTATACTTTGACCTCTTAAATCACTTGCAAATGACAACACATACACAAACACACACCGGCTACAAGCTAAAGAAAAAATTCCGCGCACCGTCCCTTATTGTCCGGCGCAATAAAGTGCCACTAAAAGAAGCCACGCGATTTTCCCCCGAAACGATCGAGAACGATCGTAGCGCCACTCGCAAAGCTGCGGTAATAGCAGTCGCTCGAAACTCAAAACAGCGGGAAAGTTGGTAAAGACAAGCTGCCGTGTTTTAGAAAAACGAATACAGATAAAACTAAAATGTTTCGCTAAACATTAAAAAAATTGAAAGAATAAACTTTTTTCATAAAAGTGCTCTGTTTTCGAAAAGTTATTTAACTATTAAATTTTTTAAAAAATTACCATTTATCACAAACTGTTTGATTATGATCTCTAGCTGATTTATGAAATAATAAACTGTATTATGAATCTTATGATTTTATAAGATATTAAGATCTAAGCAAATCACACAAACACTACAAAGGCAATTTTTTTTTAAATATATATTTTAGTTTTTAGTCAGATAATTTCCATGCCTTTTTTTCTATTTCTATTTTATTGGCTAATAAAAAGTTACATTTTGGAGATTATTTATAAATATTAGTATTAAAGTAAAATTCAACACAATTTTCATTATTAAAAACACTTGGAATCCTTTTTTAAACATTAATTAAATAAGAAACATTTGATACTTTAAAAGATTTGATATATTAAGTAATTAAAGATAATTTTTCACTTCATTAATAATTTTTCCTTTATTTCAAATAGTATTATTATATCACGAACAGTAACTATTATATTGTAAACACTTTATATTTTATAAGATATTTCAAAATAAATGTTTCTGAGTTTTGAAAAACAATTGATAGCGGCAAAAATGTTAAAATTATTGAATTTAAGAAAGTTAATGAATTCTTCGAATCAATACTTCAAATCAATGAATAAAACTACATACGTTTGTAAACATAGCAAGATTTGGATATACATACTTAGCAATTGTACAATCTGTAATCAATCTGTACTATTGTAACAATCTGTACTGTAGAAAGAGCGTAATAAATATATGCCAGTAATAATGTAATATCTCTAAACTCTATTATGCTCGGTAACTGTACTAGCTAAATATACTCGGTAGTAATACTTTAATAAGTAAATCCTATGTTATAACTAATTTTAAGTGTATAATTATAACTTGTTAAATGTTTTACCAGTGCCAATAGATAGGTTCCGAGAAGAATATTATTATGAGTTTGCAAAAATAGAACGAATATTGGTTCTGTTAATTGCTTATAATATTTTTTATTTGATCAATATGAAGCGAAAAATTATTCTCCATAAATAGAAAATAAAAATAATAATCAAGATATTTTTTTAAGTTTAAACTTAATTTACTATAATAATTATTAAAAAATGTTGGCACAATTTCAGAAGTAAAGAATTTTGACCATAGAACACAAATAATCCCCTCAAAAATTTTCTATTCAATATTTTATAAAATTAAATAAAACATAAATTTTGTTTTATATTAAGTTATATGTTATAATTTAATTTAATCCTAAAATTAGACTACTAAAATAACAAAAGTCAAACTTAAAGCAAAATACAAAGGAGGTATTTAAACTTTGAGATATGGTAATTTTTGTCGACTTGGCAAAACTCCCAAAGCGGCCGAAATATACATATAATACACATTTGTTTTATTTTAACATATGTAAATATATATACATGTGTTATATTATAAGTGAATGGTTTAAATACTGTATATTTTGGTCTTAATGGTCAGAAATATGGCTTATGTTACCAGCAGGGACCGATCTAGAAATTTGGGGGCTGTAGGCACTAGACTATTGGGGGCCCCGATGAATCTGATCTTAAATTAATTAAAAACCCTCTTTTAAAAAGTTTATCTTAAATATATANTAGGCCCAGGCCTCTCGGGCCTAATGGTTAATCAGGCCCTGGTTACCAGAAAAGTCGTTATCTTACAGTATGGTAATTTTACCAGAATTGTTTTCTTCGTGCAAGGTTTGGTGAACGAAGCGTGCAAGGGGAAGGAAAGCCCCCCCCCCCAGTTCAACAGACGGATGTAATGTTATTTTTTCTACTTTATTTATTAAAAACTAAATATTTTAAAAAAATAATTACCAAAGTTGTCATTTACAAATGTATAAATTAACCTATCATCCTTCTAGCTTTTGTCAAATTCAAAAACAAATTATTCAGTAAATACTTGTGTGTAATCTCAACATTCGAAAAAAATTGATAGTTTATTCATAAAAAGATTAAGAAAAAAAAAGGGAATGTGCATAGTGTTCTCATTTTTTAAAATTTCTATTGAAATATGTTTTTGTTAAATTTTTTAGCTAGCAAACAAAAGATTAGTTATTCGTAGCTGTAAATAAAAAAAAAATTAAGCTTTTGCTTTCATGAATTGACTCAATATTATGTTTCTGAATTTAGTCAATAATAAAAATTAATGAATTGATTTATTATGACTCATCATAAGAATTACTTATAGCTATTTAAAATCACAAATTAATAACATTTAAAAGTAAAAAATAGTTTTTAATTTATTAGCAAGCTCTTTTTTTTTTTATTCTTGGCAGAAGAGAGTCTTACTTTATTTTGACTTGGTTTTTCTTCGACCACCATCACAGTAACATCTACCAGACTTGCTTAGTTATGCTCTATTCAAGAAACTTTTCATAGATCAATTTTCTCCCCATGAGGTTGACCACCACACACCTTGAGAAATTCGACGTGAGCACTGACCAACGCCTGCTGTCCACCACACAGGTAGAGGAAGTTTATTAAAACCGTACATGTTTTATCTATATGTGAAAATATATAAGCAACAAAAATGAACTGCAAATAAATAAAACAAAATAATTAGAATAAATTGTGAGTAATTTTCTTTTCTTCCGGCTGAACTAAACTGTTAATTGGGTGATATACGAGGGGGAAATATAGGCTTTTTTTCGTCTTCGATTTATTTTCAGAATTAAGCAATTTTGCAATTAGCCTATTTGGCAATATCTTAGGGGACGTGTTAAATACGAAGCCGTCTCCCAAATAGAATTTCGGAAATATAGCGTGCGGTATTTTAAATTCGATAGTCATTTTTTTTTCCTGGAAAAATTGCACCAATTCGCACAAATATAAATTCAGAATCATTTGAAAGTTACTTATTAATAGTTTACATTTGTCGGGTTTTAGAGTTTTGATAAGTATTTTTTTTTTATAATTATTTTTCTTAATTTATGCTGTAAAATACTTTTAGTGTTATCTAAATCAGATTTTATCAATTTGAACAATAATAGAATTTAATGATTAAGAAATCTGAAAACAAATTTACAGTTTTAAATTATTTACTTAATTATATCCATATTGCGTTTCCTTTTTCATATGCAACTTCATTTAAAAAAAAAAATGTAAAGCATTAAGGTAACCATCTTATTACTTGAAATTTTGATCCCTTCTATTTTTCTTCCTCCTTTTTTCCTTTCTTTCTTTTCCTCCCCCCCACTTTTTTTTTAATCCTTCACCAGGATAAAAATAAAAGATTTAATAATAATGTCAGAAATGAATGCTTTGTTTTTAAAATTCCCAATGTAGAGGAACTATTTCGAATTTTCGTAAAATAATTAAAACAAAACTATCGAATTTGCGATTTCTGATAACTATTTAAATCATATAGCTTTTTTATTAAAAAGCTTTTGATAAAAAAATTTTTGAAATCGGCAAAAATGAGCTTGAATGTTAAGTTTCAAGCATGAAGTTAAAATATTATTCAAATATGCGTAAATTACATAGATGAGTATCAGTGGTGCAACCAGAAAATCATCCGGCGATTCAACAATCACCTGGTTTTTATTTTTATAAGTTCATTAATATAAAATTATTACTAATTATACTGAAATGAACAAATTCTAAAGAATACTTATAATATAATTATAATAATGCCTTACTATTATTTAAGAATTCGTAAATTATTCACGGAGAAAAAATTTTGGTAAAATTACCGTACTGTCTAGTAATGACATAAAAAAAACTTAATTCCGGTTAATAAAACCAAAATATACGTTATTTACACCATTCATATAGTAATTTTTCCTTTCGTATAGTGACGGTTTATCTGAAATTCTTTTTTAAAATTATAGTTCTTTTCACCACACATTTAATAAAAAATACATAACCTAAAAGGAAATTTAACCGAATAAACTACTTTTATCCCATGTATCATGATAAAATTTCCAAATTTTACCACATTTACCAAATTTAACACACATTATAAAACCCTATTTTATTGTTAATTTTAAGAAATTCATTGCCAAAGTGCTTCGGTAAAAATTACCGAGCTTTTTGATGTTCGCATGGAACCAGAAACATGGTAAATTTTACTATATTCCGGTAGTTTTGACCATAATATTTCTTCTCGGCGTATTTTTCCACTGCGTGGGGTTTTAATCTTAAAACTACTCTTGGATTCTTCTTCTTTTTCTAACGTACGCCGATTGAACACTTTAAATTGTTCCTTTTTTACGAGTAACATAACATTTTTTAATTTAAATTCGATTAACTTAAAAGTTTAGCATTATGTAACTGATTAATTTTTCACTGCATATATTCCTTTTATAGGCTTAATAAAAATGAATATTAAGTACTTTTGAGTCAGTTTAATGAAATTTTGTTAAAAAAATATTTTAATTCTTCCTGCAACATAATTTATATCAACAATATGCATGATTTTCATTTTATTGAATCAGTCACCACCAATAATTTAAGAGTGGAGGTTTCACTTAATCGATCATACAGACGTCCAAATTCTCAGAATTTATTTTATAAAATTTCTAAATGCATTTAAAAGGCAATGTAAAAATAAATAAATATGTTATTTATTTACTTTATTATCACTGGTTAAAAGTTAATTTATTATTAGCGACAGTTTATGAATTTTCCTTTAATAGATGTGGAAAGATATGGTTTCTTATGCCTCATTTGATAGAAGATTTTATTAAAAATAATACAGAAATTCTATTGAAAATTTGATTGATTAATACTTTTAAGTAAAAAAAAAACAATAATATTTTTAAGCAAGCGATTCAATAGTTAGTCGAGTT